GCTTAAGCCACTCTGTAAAACTTGAAACTCTATAAAAGAGCTTGTAAAGCCTACTTCTCTATAGGGGTATATAAATATAGTATGTTGTAACCCGTCCTGCCTATCTAAAACTTGACAGAAGTACAAATATATTTTAACCCTATGTAATTGTTGTATGTATGTCTATGTAAATCCGAAATGGATTAACGTTATGAAAAATCTACTTCATATTGACGCCATTTAGTTATCAAACATAATTAATGTTTTATAATCAATAAAAATACCAAATAAAGAAAAAAAAATAACTATTCACAGCTAATTGCGTTTTGGCGATACTTTACAACGAGGTTAGGGCTCTACCATGACCTCGAGAATTTTATGCTACTAAAGTAGTGTTGTTACTCAAAGAAGTATATCGACAATTTTATATTTTTATCCAGCATATTCTGTGTATTTTGGCTACCGTAAAGCTTTTCTAATGTTGCTCTGAAGGGCAGGCGCTGCGCTACTTTAGTAGACAGCGTTCTCTTGTCTATTAATACGTGAAGGGAAAACTTGTAACTCTTTTTAAGCATATTGCATAGGTAGTTAAAATTCATATATGGACAAGGAGTGCACAAAGCAAAATTTTTTACACACAAGTTTTCATCAATAACCTTATTATTATCTATACTCTCAATTTTCCGATAATTTTATGTCAAACTTCAGTTAAAAAAAAAGTTTAGAAAATCGAAAATTGCACGACTCATAATGCTCATATGATCATCATATCATCATTCAGGTCACTCCATAAAGTCCAAGATGTATTTAAGTATATTTATATATAAATCCTACTTACTTTTAGTACGTAGTACTATTACTTATTTTATGCTTTTAAAATATTGTAATAAAAATCTGTGATAAAAATAATAATCAAGTATGTATTAAATTTGGTTAAGCCAATATTTTGTATTTGTACAGCGATCTTTTTGAGCACAAGCCGCTGCAAACAACCGATACAGTATCCCACTCACGACGGCGGCTGAGCCCGAAATGACGCTGAGTGAGGCAGTCTATTTAGTAAAATAAATTATTACAATCATCATCATTACAGCCTTTCACAAATCCACTACTGCACATAGGCCTCCCCCAAGGAATGCCACAAAGCACGGTCCTGAGCCACCTGCATGCATCGACTTTCTGCATGTTTTACCAGGTCGTCACTCCATCTCGTGGGGGGTCGCCCTACACTTCGCCTACCAGTACGAGGCTGCCACTCAAGAACCTTTCTTCCCCATCGGTTGTCGGTTCTTCGAGCTATAAGGCCGGCCCACTGCCATTTCAGCTTACTAATCCGTTGGGCTATGTCGGTTACTCTGGTTCCACTGCGGATATCCTTATTTCTAAGTTTATAACGCAGATAAACCCCGAGCATAGCCCTCTTCATAGCTCGCTGAGCGACCTTGAGCTTCCTCATACGGCCAGCAGTGCATTATTACAAGGCTGCTCAAAACACCGAAAATTTCGGAATTTCTCTGCCGAATAAAAAATAATTATAACTAAACAAAACAAAATTAAACTGCCATTTACATTCCATGGCTTCCAACATGATAGATGAAGATATTGAAAAATTGATATTTTCAAAACTTATCGTGTTTACTTTTCCATGCGGACTTGATAAATCCACACCATAAGCCACTAAAACCGCTTTTATATTTAAAAATAGCAATTAATCGATTTAAAAAAAAATGAATAAGTTCAACAATCATTCAACTTTTTGACAATGTGGTTTTGACATCATTTATATGTACAATATGATTGTTAGATACGATTTCATGTGACAAAACTAAACGCAGTGGTTATATTCTCTTTGAACAAAACGTTTGAATCTTGAATTTTAGGCCCTAATAGAACATCGTACGCGCTTCGCGCTTAAGGCATGCAATAAAACGTAAAACGTAAACAATGTTGCTTACGTTCATACTGTTAATCTCAAACACTTATTAATCATTGATGAAACAGTCGCACAGTGAAGAGATTATCACCAAAAACATTTAACTTCTTAGAGCAAGGCGACAGGCATTTTCTTAAACCCTCTCTGTCCCACAGAAGTAAACAGAGGCGTGCGCCCAACGTATGTACGCTATAACTTTCTTATAATAGCATAAGTCTAAAGATAATAGAATCAGGCGTTACTTTGTGGAAATCCATTATAATGGGGTTGTTATAAGCTAATTTCCTTAAAACTGGTCAGGATATATCATTTTCTTTCTTTACGCGGAATCAAGCAAATTAGTTTATAACAACCCCACCATAATTCTAAAGCTTTTGTTTTTGCTATGTCTTTAGCCTTTTAGTCCCCAAATCTTTCTTATTACCTGAATGAGTTTTAAATGAGACACAAGTATGTAACATACTTGTTGTCTAATCTAAGGGGCAGGCGCTGCGCTACTTTAGTAATGTAGTTTTACCGTGTAGTGGCGGTGTAAGAATATCCACTACCCCATATCGTCCCGTGGGTGTGGTAAGAGACGCCAGAAGGAGCCTCTTACTCGCCGCCTGCCGAGTGTCACAACTATGGCAAATATCCCTCTTATGAGGCAGTATTAGGTGAGGCCTATGTTCGGTAGAGGATTTTGATAGGCTGATGATGATGATGATAAGTAAGTAAGTTTTATTATAAGTAAAAGGAACGTATATTCAAAACATTTGAAATTAATTTTTTTATAGGATAGGGTCACAAACGAACACACAGTCCACCTGATGGTAAGTGGTTACTGTGATCCATAGACATTACATCTATCCTCAATAAATAATCAAAATGCAGAAGCGTTGTCACCTGTGAGGACTAAGATGGAATGCCTCTTTTCCAGTTAAAAGGGTCTCCGGTTCTCTACACTTACCATATGAAACACAGCAGCGTTAAGCTGCTATTTTACGCCGGTATTCTGTGAGAGCGTGGTCCTTCCCCGGTCGAGACCCATTCTTGCTACAACTAAACTACTAATATAGCTGCAGCATGGCTCTACCACGTAATATTACAATAGATAACATACGATTTTATAAATTATGTACATATTCTCGGAAGAGAGTATTGTGGTTATGTATGTTATTACTGTATGTTATAGATATTTAATGACAACTGATAACATTGTTGATTATAATATTTTTCCACGGGCGAGAATGTTTATTTATATGTAATATCAACATAATAATATATAATTAACAATATTTACTTTTTCGATTTATTGTCATCATCTTCAACCCGTTAATGATCATTGCTGAACATATAGGCCTACCCCAAAGGTTGCCTATAGCCGCCACGCTTGGCGTCACATAGCAATTGTGATCAAACGTTTTGTATTATATGAAACAACCAGTCTTTTTCGATTTGGTAATGTTATGTTTTATCACCCGACTGCGACATTTATATATCCGTTTCTTTGGCCGCCCGCTCCGCCCTACACCAACCAAGCCGACTTCAAAGAACAAAAACGAATAATAACATTTTCACATAATAGCTTCTGAAGTCGGGGCCATATGTCGGCTTCAGAAGTTATAGTGTGATACCTAATTATTTATTTACATAATATTCAAACACATATACAATGTTATAAAACCATAATAAAAAAAACGTAAAATAAAAACATAAATTATCATACTACTATATTATTCTTTTTCTATTCTGTTTATGCTTTAGTTAATTATCCTCGTTTAAAAGCTTATAATATTTGTATTTAAGATACTTTTTATATAATAAAAAAATTACGTATTATAATATATGATAAACAATTTGGATAAAGTCCCAGAGCGTGTCGCATCTCGTGGATGTTATGTAGGTAAAAAATTACATTCGATAACGTATAAGACAAAGCACGCATAAGCAATTCTTATCACTGCGATAGCTCCAGTTGAATTAACATAGCTAATAGAGTTGAAACGAAATCGACGTTAGTTGTGCAAGTGATTACTTAATTTGTTATATTAACTAAACGAGTGATTGTGCAAGACCTTGAAGAACCTTGGTGAATGAGGTACGTAAAAATGGTGAACTTGTTTTTCTTTTATTTGTTAACGTATCATATATTTATCTTTATTCTACTTTTAGATAGGGATTGATAAACAATTACCTACTACTCTGACCTCAGGTCAGATCCTTGTAACCAATTGTGAATTATGTTCATAACACAAATAATGCAATTGCATCAGACATTGTTTGTAAAATTAAATAAGGTACGTGAGGGTAATATGGTCACCCTCCTTAAGCTTTGTTGCCCTATAAAACCAAAACTAGGAGGAGGACAGAGGCATAAACACAAGGTTGTATACTATAACGAATATATCAGGAAAAAATAGCAAACAAGCTTTGGCAATAATTAGGAACACTTCGGAAAATCAACTAAAATAAAACTAACTTTACTACACAACACTTAAATCGACAAAATTATTTACGATAATGTCAACTGTCGAAATGACGTTGATAAAGAAGCGCCCTTTTAACCCTTTATTATTTGATTGACTGATGAAGAGTTATCGTATCACAGAGCTATCCATGCAAACAAGGCTGTGGTTTTGAGTTATAAGAAAGTGATGATTTCTTATATTTACGCAAACACTACACATTGAATAAAACTACTTTTAAGGATTCTATCGCGTTTAATTAACTTATTTTTTATTTAAGTTTCGGGTGCTCTACAGCATCAATGGTCACGGGGGACTAAGGTAATTGACGTCTCGATGTCAGAGTTAACCCGGAGTATCTTCAGCTTTTTTAATTATTAGTTTTGTTCTAACTACACAGAATGAACTTACTGTGTGTGTAGTCTTGCAGTGAGTTGTGTCTCGCCAGCAACGCTAAGTCGGGAATTTGCATTTGGAAAAATCCAAAATTAAGGGCTTCTTAGGTGCCAAGTTTAAAAATTAGGTGCTCTAAAATTTTCACCGCAACGAACTGTTGAAATTTGCGTTGCTAGCATATAACTTATATATAACTAAGTATAAATATCAAGGCTGAATTTTTCGGTCTGTCCGTTATTGCAGCCATGCCTGAGGTGCAAATTGAAGAGGTGCGGAGATTTATGGTGGAGAGCCTAGTGGCGGTGGGGGCTCCGGAGACCGAAGCTAAGTTGCAAGCTGATCTCCTACTATATGCAGATACCGTAGGACATTTTAGTCATGGACTGAATAGACTTGGTTAGTAGGCCGTTTTCTTTTCTTCAAACGTATATATACGTGGTAGAGCCATGCTGCAGCTATATTAGTAGTATAGTTGTAGCACGAATGGGTCGGCTGGACCGGGGAAGGACCACGCTCTCACAGAATACCAGCGTACAATTACAGCTTAATGCTGCTGTGTTCCGTGTGGTGAGTGTAGAGAACCAGAGACCCATTTTACTGGAAAAGAGGCATTCTATCTTAGTCCACACGGCTGACAACGCATCTGCATTTTAATTCGCAAACGAAGATAGATGTAGATGTCTATGGGACACAGCAACCACTTACCGTCAGGTGGTCTGTGTGCTCGTTTGTCACCCTTATTCTATAAAAAAAAACGTAGCTCTTACATCATCAATTCTTAATTGTTGATTTACTAGGTGGTAGAACTTCGTTTCTGTGTTACAGTGCGTCAAGATAGGGTATGGAGAGGATAGTATAAGTGCAGGCAGTGAGGCATTTGATCTCAGTCCTTAGACTTACAACGCATGTGTACCCTCATTTATTTGAATTTGGTTATAGAAGTTCGTGGGCTGCAATAACTAATTACCATACGGACTGTAAGTTCGTTTGAACCAATACAGATGAAGTAGGTAGGTTTAAGCCACAAGACTTTTCTGGCAATTCTCTTAGTTATATTATGCATAAGTATGTATGTGTATTATATATAAATAACTTAAAAACGTAAAAAAATTTACCATCTTATTTAATATCTATAACTTTTTTATTAATAATGTATTTAAAAATAATACCTAATATTCAGTAAAAGTATTTTCTTGTTACATGCATTATTATCATTTTGTTAGTAGTAGAATGAGTCATTTTTACTTTATATTTTATGGTTTTTCTTAAATACTTGGTCGGCGATTATTAAAGCCTACTAAATTTCACAATAGGCCTTATTATACTCCTCTTTCTTTTTTTATCTTTATTGATTATAGAGGGCTTGATCTATTAGATCATGTCACCTTCATAGTTATACAATAAAATAATCAGACAATGATAAATTTACGTAAACAATAATAAAAAAATATCTGTTCTTAATACCTAACAATACTAGTTTATAAAGTTTTCTAGCCTTATCCGACAATGGAAAAGCTAAAATACTATTATACTATTTTTGTCAAAACCTTATAGTTTTCTATATGCTTCGTTTCGTTCACATTCCATCATAATATGAATAGTATCTTCCAGAATTTGACACAATTTGGTGAATTCATTTTTCTCATCATAAACGCAAATTTATTTAATGCAATATGTCCAGAACGAAGCCTCATTCGCAACTGAACTGGATGTACTCCCCCCCTTGGTCCTATTAAAACTTTTAAAATATTTACAAACTTAAGGGCTTTCCCTTTTATTTCGTTTATGTGCTTGGCCCATCAAAGAGATCAATCTAACCATAGCCCTAAATACTAATGCTTTTAACGATTTAAAGGCTTCTTTTGTTAACCGTTATATTTATGTGTTCTCTTACGCGTCCATTCTTAAATATGCATACTTTACTCTTTGATGAAGATATTTCTAGTCCTAACTTGAAAAATAAACTATTAAGAGTATTCAGAGCTAACTGTATATCAATAACTCCGTTACTGATACTATCACAATTCTTATATATAACAAAATCATCCGTATATTGAGAGATATAAACGTTATTCACGCTTTTACATATATTAAGAGTAGCTACATTAAACAAAAGAGGAGATAACGGATCTCCTTGGGCTAGACCTCGCCCTGTAAATCTACTGACACACACGTTATCCACATATATTTTAAGATGTCGTTCATTAAGGAAACTACTATGATATTGAAAAATTTTCTTTCCTACATTAAGTTGATCTAAGGTGCACACCTTTACTGTAATCATTTATGTCAACATTATTATACGCATTGTCTAAATCTAAGAAGCATCCTATCGTGGACTGACTCTCTGTAAAACCTATTTGTATCCTTGATACCAAACTACTAAGACTATCTAAGCAGGATCGGGTTCTCCTAAAACCGAACGTATTAGGAGAAAAGTGTTTGGTTTTTTGACGATACATCATTAATGTCTCTTCCTGGCTTTGGGATCGCTATAATACCAATATCTCTCCATTGTGATGGTACGAAACTGTTTTTGAGAAAAGCATTATACAGCTTGATTAAAATGCATTTGCCATTAAATGGAAGGTGTTTCAACATTGAATATGCTATGCCATCGCATCCAGGATATGTTTCCTTTAATTTAATACATGTATCAAGCTCCAGAATTGAGACCTCTTCCTCTAGTAACATGTTACTAGAGCTAAAACTAGCCTGTTCTGATGAAGCAAAATCTGGCGTTAGACTGCGAAGAAGTATTTCCGCTTTTTCTCTATCTATATGGTGGCTATTATGTTATCTAAAACCTTTCATCCATCTCTTCTTTTGCCACATATCCCTAATAGTTGTTTTTTCATTTAACGAATCACAAAACCTCTCCCAATTACGTAATTTAGCCTGACGAATTAACCTCTGTGTGTCTCTAATTTTGTCTTGGAGTATAGCTAAATTCTGAGGTGTTGAGTTACGTCTATACCTGGCCAGTGCTTGTCTACGAATGGCTACTGACTTCGATATTTCTACATCCCAGTGAGGCTTAGGTTAGGTACAAATTTAGACTCTGGGTTTTGATTTATTTTAATAAAAGGGATATGAATGTCAGCTGCTAAATTCAAATATTCTAAAAATATATTGTAACATTTTTGAAGGTCAGTACTATATATTGGGAATTGGTGAAAAAGTTTTTCAAGAGTATTCATATATCCGTCCCAATCTGCTTTTTTAAAATTTCTTTTAAGATCATACGCTAACCGCTTTTGACATAAAGCTGATATTTTAATCATGAGATGATCACTACCTAAAGTCTCTCGAAGTACCTTCCAATTAAATTTATAGACGATATCAGACAATGAGCGATAAATCAGGAGATGACGCTTGTAAGACTCCATTTACAACTCTAATCACCTCACAAGTAGCTCACTAAAATATATTTTACCAGGAGATTTGTTGTTATTTTCCTCACTATATCTAGTATTAGGTTCAAACCTATTACTTTGTAATGACGTGTCACGCTCTGTATTTCTTTTTTCCTCTTTTGTTTGATGTCGGCGGGACGATAATGTAATGTATCGTCTTTCACATTGACTAATATTAGCTTCGTTATGCATTATAACATTGGCTGTCACTTCTGCAAAAGTAGGAACATTCTGGGTTGTAGCCGCTTCCCTCTTCCGTGTGTTATAATTATACCTACATCTCCTGCTGGATATTATTATGTCCTGTAAGTTTTACGTCCATTTCTCTATGTGGTGTTGGCGCAACATGGATTGTTAAAGCCCTCCTGTATGCGCAATTGAACTCGGCCATAAGTTCTCGCAACTTCCTTTCTTTAAGATAAGCAGGGCAAGTCCTAGCTAAAGCCATGTGAGCACCAGAGCAATTGATACATTTGAATGTTTTAGTATCACAATTCTCGTGTTCTCCCCCACACTTGGGGCAGATTGTTTTCTTGAGTGGGCATAATTTGCGAATGTGACCCAACCTACAACATTGTGAGCATTGTGTAACAGGATATACATAAGGCTGAACAATTATTTTCATATCGAAAATATATACGTATGATGGTAGGGAAGACCCTTTGAAACAAAGCTGTATGGTTTGACTTGGACACCAACCTTCCTGTTTCGTGTTACTTCGTCGTTTAAGCCTTTTTACGGATATCAATTCTGTAGAATCTGAGCAAGATATATTTTTCATAATTTCTTCTTCAGATATTTCTAACTCCACGTCTCTTATAGTTCCATAACAGTAGTTAACCTCCATTGCCTTTTGAATTCTGCATCCCATAGAAATAAATGTCGCACAGGTTCTTAAATTCTTAACGCTTTCCTCGTTCGGCAATTGCAACCTTACTTTAAAAGGATTTAAATTTATTTATTTATTTAGAAAACCAACAGCGTATATAGAAAATATTAACATTAATGTAACAAACTAAAAGTATGGCCAATAACAGGTTTCCCTTATATTGTTTGATTGTAGGTGTATTGTTGTTAGAAGAAAAGGAAAAAGAACAATCTAATAGGTAAATTATAAGCAATTCAATGTAATGAAGGTGGTCATAAGTTTACAGATCAGGAGAGATAGTCAGGTAGAATGATATATTACATTACCTTTATATATATATATATATATATATAAATATAAATATATATATATATATATATATATACATATAAACATATAAGATATATATATATATATATATATATATACATATATATTTACTTATGTATATATACATATTAAATGTTTAAATATATAAACATAATACAAATAATTAATTATAATATATATTAAATAAAATAACTTAAGTACTTATATTTATATTAGTAGCCTCAAAAATACATATAGAAGAAATAGATGAGAGAATATATGATTGTATGTGATTTGAACTTCAACTGCTCTATTTCGTAATAGTTTTCTTGATGTAATCTTTAAACGTAAGTTTAGATTTCGCAAAGAGGTCAATGTGTCCAAATTGTTCATTATATGTACGAGCAAGCCGCGAAAGAACAGTGTTTCGACAGTAGTTTGAATGATGCCAGGGAGTTTGTAACAATGTAGTATTGCGGGTACGGAATTTTGGAGTACGAAAGGTGATTCTTGAGACAAGATATGGACAGTCAATATTACTGTTTATTATATCATATAACAAAGCCATGTCAAGCAAAATGCGCCTGTGTTCCAGAGATAAGAGATCGTGCTCAGTGCAACTGTCTGTGTAAGTATCGATTTTATTCCGACAGCGAAAGTTAAGGTGATTAACAAATATTTTTTGAATACGCTCAAGGCGGCTTTTGTAGACATTGTACTGTGGAGACCATATTGAACTAGCATATTCCAAAACACTTCTGACATATGCAAAATAAACCATTTTAATTGTATTAATATTCGAG